CTCTTTCCTGCCTATGCAGGGGGTCGGACTCGATGATCTATTGAGGTCCCTTCCGACCCTAACATCTATGAATCTATGAATAGGTACAGCAAATCTTCAATTGTTGTAAACCTGAAGGTGGTTCTCCAGATTTACAAAACAAAGTAGCAAACTTAATCTCGTCCACACACCCTCCCAGCTAAATACAACCAATTTACCCAACTCCCTAAATACAAACAATATTGCAAAGACCTTATCATCTCCTGGCTTACAAGAGAAGACCCTACACTGACAATACAGGAAAATAAAAGATGAAAAATATAAGATGGAATACATCAAAGCTTGTATTTGAAAGTACCTTCCTGAAATCTTCCTGGAAGATGCTGGGCTTAAGCTCCCAGCATGTGCTGATACAAGTAAACGAAAGCTCTCTGCTTTGCAGTTCCTTCATCTGAACCCCCATGTAATAAGGGTTCAGCTTGTCATGGGATCAGGTCCTTTTAAAGTGCTCTGCAGCCTTTTTATGCATTGCTGTAATGGTATGGCTGTAGAGCACTTTTTCCAGGGGCTGTTTGCACAACAAAATGTCTCGTGTCAGCTCCCAGTACGTTACTTTTCCTGTAGTAAGAAGCATTGACAGAGTTTGTCAGAACTACTCAGGGTTTTAAAGTCTCCTGTTCTCTCTCTGTGGAGCTTCCACCTATGTCTTTTACTGTTCCCTCATGCTCTATACTGCTTAATTCTTTCACTAGCCTTAGGCTTAAAATTCAGATAACTGGTATTTCCACTTCTGCCGGAAGTGAATTTAATTCAGTCACAAAATTAATCTTGGTTATGAGCAAAACATTCCTTTTACGTGAACGTTCATATAAACAAAACTTTGCATAAATGTTCATGAGCACTGAATACAGAAAGAGTGAGGACAACAGATTACAATTCTGTTTTTAGTTTGCCAAAATATTCATGATAGGTTTTCTCACTGTTCATTTGATTCCACTCAGAAACCAGTGCAATACTTCTATACTCTCCCATGTCAAGACCAAGACATTTAGGAGACAAGGAATGGAGACAGCATGTTCCAGAACCTAAAGATGTTGCTAAGACAAATCATCAGTCTAAATCAAACATGCCAAAACACTGTAAGTTCCATAGTGAGTACTACACTTCAACATAAAATCATCAGAAGTAGTAACTCAAATGTTTTTTGCTAAATAACTGATTCCTCTTAAAGATCATTAATAAAAGCTGTCATAGAAAGGGTAATCAGGAATTCCAAACAATAAACTAATAGATATAGCAAACACAAAAGGGGCAAAATAATCTGCAGTTTACTAGCAGGACAACTAGAGCCATTACTTTAAATCAAATAGGTTATTGTGGCCTATTGATCTATTTTTAAAAGGTCTGTTGATATCTCGTTTTACATGTTTCTTGTTTACCAGATATGATCTCAACACAATCCTTTTTTTTATCAAGAATTCTGGAATTTCTGTCTCAAAATTTGTGGGCCACTGAAATATGGAATATAAAGTTAATTCTACTTAAAAAGCCTGATTTTTATTCTACAAAAGGAATCCTTTACATTTTGCCACTCTGGATTTTAATCCTGACATTGTTGCTTTAAATCTAATTTAGCATCCACTTTACTTCTAATATCCTCCAAGACAATCCTTGTATAATGTTCCTCATGAAATTGGTCAGGCACAAACAGTTCTAAATGCAGATTGGAGGACATGTGAAACCTCCCACATCATTGAAGTATGTTTAACTGGGGAAGTCAGGTGATCAGAACTTGAGACCTGTGCTCGGGATGTCTTCATTAGTCTTGTTGAAGAAAAAGGGCCAAGGTTGGCTTGCCTGGGGAGGGCTTCCATGCAAATGTTGTCACACATGCTGAAATGCCATTGGACCAACAAGCTGTTGCCTGCCTCGGCCATTTTCAAGGGGCTGCAGAAGTGTTGCTAAGCAGAAGGCCCCAAAGCTTGTTTCTGAGTGACTGTAGTGCGAACCTTTGCAGATGTGGCAACTAATTTGGTCAGCAAGTAAAGGAAGCCATCAAACAATTAAACAAAGAACAAGGCCCGAAAGGAGTTAAGAGAAGACTGTACATTAAATAATCTATATACACTATATCATAGCTTGATCTTAATAGTAGTGGTGACTGAAGTAACCAAATGTGTTAGATGTTATTTTGCTATAATATACTCTTGTTAAAATGCTTAGATAATTTGTAAAAACAAAAACAGCCTTGTCAGAGAAGACCCAAACTAAAAAGAAGCAGGCCAGTGTTGAACAACATCCTACAAAGTTAAAGTTAAAGAGATGGTCTTCAGTACTTCATTAGATGAAAAAAGTTTGGACCCTTTTGCGTTGCTGTTCACCCTTCCCATGAAAGATGCAAAATAAATCTCTTTAGATCACATTCAGCCAATGTGCTCCTTGCCTTCCAATAATGGGAGGAAGCCAGGAGAACATTCCTTCATTTAAAGAAATGAAGTGGGTGGAGTTCTAGATCCTTTTATAAAGTAACTTCTCATTATTGACTCCTACCAGTGGAAAGACAGGAAACATGTTTCAGGACCAGTATCCATTTCAAGACCCAGTAAGAGCATATGATTTGACCACAATGGAAGCTGCAAAGGCACCACATGCTGCTTTGCCTCAGGTAAGAAAACCATAAAATCAACTCCACCTAAGGTTTTGGTTCAGCATATAACAAACTCCTGTTAGTATTTGTGCATTAGTTGCTGGGGATGACTGGAGAAGAAGAAGAAACAAGATAATACCTTAGCCTGAAGGAAGTTAAGGTAAAGTCTTAGCTTCATTGAAATCAATGCCAAAATTCCCATTGAATTCAGTGGAGCTAAGTTATCACCTTTTTACCTAAATGGGAGCTGGCAGTAGGCTCTGGGGAGAGAAAAGGAAGGGAAAACAAGAGAAAATGAGTGGAGAAGGGAAAACCTCTCTGTGAGAGAGATTTCTTTACAAGAAATTCATATCACATGTCTTGTTTTTGTTTTGTATTTTCCAGTTTGTCTCTTTTTGATATGCGTAAGCTGGTTTTTAAAAATGTTGGTTAATATTTTTCTGCTGAAAACGTGATTTCATTCCAGCTGAAAAAATTGGAAACTCATGTCAGTTTTAACAGAAATTTTGAACAAAAAAAACCCCTTTTGGGATGACTCAAAATAAAGTCAGACATTTGACATGTTTTCCCCCCTAGCCTTCCATTTCATTTTGTATTTTCTATTCTGTTCTGAATTGTGTTTAATAGATTTGATATTTTGGGTGGTTCAGAAGTCTGTCAAGTGTTGTTTTGTGTCCCTTTTAATTGGATGAGTACAACTTATTTTACAAAATGTTTAAAATAATGAAACTGAAGCTTACAACATTTTTGACACCAAATATTTTATTTTGATCATTTAGCACAAAACACATTACAACAGAATATTTTTAATTTTTTTAACAACTTTTTGTTAAATTTCCATCCTGGAAATTTTTTTGATGTTCTCTTTTCATTTAAATTTGAAACAAAATAAAATGTTAAAATCATAAAAAAGTTTTCATGGAACAGATTTTCAGTAGTGATGAGTCTTAAAAGAGGGAGCAGGCATTAGAAATATCAGATCCTTAGTGGAAAATCACACTTCAGCTGCAGAGGGCATAGGAAAGGAGTTTTGTTTTTATGATGTTGCATAGCTAAGATGAGACTTCCTTTCATTTCATTGAAATGAGTACCACCTATATGGGTTTTGTAGCCACCTGGCACACCAGTCATTCCAGTAAAGCATGTGTGTGGGTGCAAAATGACCTGGCAATTGGTTTGCTAGTGGGAGAACTGAGACACAGTGGGGTGTAATGAACAACAGCTATAATTTGGGGTTTCAGCAGGTATTATTGACATTTAGAACTTGTAGGAAATCCTGACAGGTTGTTTTTTCCTCTGCCTTTCTTTTTTCAGGACCCATACTTCAGAGCACACCATTTAGGAAACTATGAAGTTGAGAAGCAATGCCAGGGTTATGTCCAGCAGAATAAACAATTCCAGGTACTAAAAATCAGAGCATGTCCTAACAAACCTACTGTAAGGTTTTATTTTGCTGGAGGGATGAAAGGGTGAGACAGGTTTCCTAGTCACCAACCGTTTTACCTGATCATTAGTGTTAGCAACAGTTCCAGTTCTACAAGTGAAACACCCTTGTGTTTATCATTTCAATAATTTTATTTCATTATCATTTGTGAGTTTCAAAATTGTTCTTTGTACTTCTCCCTGTGTTTGATTTGAAGCATGGGGAATGCGTACTCTTTGAACTCCATTACTTACGAAAGGAATTCTATTAGGGTAATTTCTACAGTAAAATATTTGACTAGGCCAAATTCACCAGCATGGTACAGTGCTGCAACTTTATCAGCTTCAATGGAATTGAACCTTTCTATTCATGGCAGGGATGTTAAGGGTGATTAATTTGTGGGTTTCAGAATATCTCCTCACTCTGTCCTCTGTTGAAAATCAATCATAACAAAGGGTTTCACAGGAAGGAGGAAATATTGAATATATCACTATTAGTTTCAAAATTTGCATAATGTAAGTTACAGAGGTCCTTTTTATATTCTCATTAGACATCAGTGATATTTGTGAGAGTTCTAATTTTGTTACATTTTTCTATCTGTCCAGTAAGTAGAGTAGTTATGCTAAAACAGAATTAGAGGGATTTAAATTAAGTTCAGCAATTGTATCCAAACCACTATATGAGGCAGGATCTTAGAAATCAATGGGAATTTGTTTTTATACTTCATGTAACTTAAGCTAAGATTAAGTACTACAAAGTGAAATAATGTCCATATAGGCTTTTGTAATGGCTTAATTTAATTGGTTTAAAAGAATGACTCAAACTGTTGCACTGTAATTCTGTATGCAAGACTACCTGTATATTGGAGAGAGATTCACAAACTAATTATAAAACAATTATTGGAAGAGACTATATTTTAACACTCTAAGGGAAATAGAAGCAATCCCTACAAGGACTGATTTAGGATATTTTGAATACCTTTAATATAAATGTTTGTGCTGCTTTATGCACATTTTTGGATTTCTTATAACTTCCGAATTTTTTGGATTTCAATTTTTTTCCCAAATAAATTGAAAAGTGGGAAAGACCAAGGTGGACTGTGATGAACTATGGAAGTATTTGGCACTATTGAGTGTATGGGCAAGTAAATGACAGATGAAATTCAAGTAAATAAGTGTAAAGTGATGCACATGGGCAAAAATAACCCAAATTATACCTACACACTATGATGGGTTCTACATTAGCTATTAGCACACAGGAAAGAGATCTGGGAGTCATTGTAGACAGTTGGAAACAAAACTGCAAGTATCATTATGCCCCTTTATGAATCCATGGTCCATCCACACTTTGAATATTGTTCCCAGTTCTGGTCCTCACACCTCACAAAAGAATATAGAAGAACTAGAGAAGGTATAGAGAAGAGCAACAAGGGTGGTTAGTGATACAGAGGGGCTTCCATATGAGGAACAACTAAAGAGGCTAGTCCTATTCAGTTTAGAAAAGAAATGCTTGAGGGTGGACATGATAAGGGTTTACAAAATACTAAATGGTGATGAGAAAGTAAATATGGATTTATTATTTGCTATCTCTCACAATACAAGAACTAGGGGTCACAAAGTGAAAATAGTAGGTAGTAAGTTTAAAACTAACAAAAGGAAATCCTTTCTCACACAGCATGTAATTAAAGTCTCAGTGGCACAAGATGTTGTGGAAGCCGGTAATTTAGACAGATTCAAAAAGGGATTGGGCATATCCTTGGAAGAAATGGGCATCAATAACTATTGAGCATAAGAGTTAGGCATACAGCCTCTGAATCAGAGCTTCCTAAACCTTATATGCTGGAGGTTGCAAGTGTGAGAGCAACAGTGGGGAAAAAATGCTGTTCATACCCAGTTCACTCTCCCTTTCAGCATTCATTCTGCCACTGTGACACAGAATACTAATCAAGATCAACCTATGGTCTGATCCAGTAAATGGCAGTTCTTGTGTAAAAAAAAAAGTTAAAGGATTTTTATTTTAATGTAATAGACATTTACTCCCAACCTTAATTTTACCTTTAAATACTTTTGGCTTGATACCCTTTATGCATTTAAACTCATGTTCTGAGTAATCAGGAAGTCACAGGCAGAGTATTTCCACAAAAATCTTGGAATCGGGCATTCTCTGTCAATCTTTAGAGTAAAAGAACTAACCGATAATAGTACCAATATATATTCAGTAACGCAGGTGGCTGACAGTACTTGAGTATCTGGAAGTTGGAGGCAATCTTTCACTTTTTTATTAAGGTTGTAGAGATGATTATGATCTGGACCTGTGACTTTGTGGTCAGGAAGAGCAGGTGAGAAAACACTGGGTCCATTAGTTTTTGTTATTAATAACTCCTACCTATAGGAAAGCCACATATTAAAGACACTCAAGTGAAAAAGCAAGTGATTTGGGCTATTGGGTCATGGCTTTGCCAATGTTAAGTAAATACATGTCTCCTTTTTGAGCTCAGTCTATATGGTGTGTTTGTTTCCTAATAGCTGATCATGATAAGGACTTGGGTTAGGAAGAACTGGTGGTAGTACTGTCTAGAGAAGACAGATGGGATGCTAATGGACTCTTCTTGATGAAAGATTTTTTCCTATATTTTGTGCAAAAAAATTCAGAAACTGGGCATGCTTATGAAATCCTAGGTAGCTGACAGAAGTGTTACCCACTTGTACCTGAGCATTTGTTTGGGACTTCTTATTTCAAAGCCAGATCTTGTTATGGTAATTTCTGTAGTTTTACCTTTTACATTGGGCTACTGCAGTGTACTATGCATGAGACTACTTTACACTTGAAAAATACTTACATGCTTTACTTGTTGAAATTTCTGTCTTGTCTTTTTTCCTCTCCCTCCCTCCCTCCCTCCTCCCTTCAACCCCTTCCCTTCTCCCCCCATAATTGTGACTCTCTGTCTCAATTGTGAATGTATATTTAGTGCTAAACACTAAGGTACATGAGGACTTAACACAGCTGTATGCCTATTAAATGGAATAAGCAGCAAGAAACATAGTACACCCTATTCCAGCAATAGTATAGGCATATTGTTTGCTCCTGGCCATACTGCAAGGTGGTTTATTGCTGCTCTTTAATAAAGAACTATACAATTTGAGTCTTGTTTCCTCTTCTCCAAATGCACTACAAACAACAAATAGTCAGTTGTCACTCTTAAGTTAACAATTCCTAGTTGTAAATACTGAAATCCTATTTCATTTTACTTGCTAGCATGGCATGCATGTAACCTAGCAATTGCAAGTTTTAGCATGTATGCACACATTGGGATTCTGTTCCCCCACATGGTGAAATAGAATCACTGTGGCAGAAGTGCGGAGTAGGAGATTCTCCTACCCTTTGGGCCAATGGCTTAATGGCTAGGGTGCTTGCCAGGGAGTAAGAGACTCAGGCCCCTCTCTCCCAAAGAGGGTTTGAACCTGCACCTCTAACTTCCCAGCAAAGTTATCTAAGCACCAGGCTATGGGTTAGGCACTACTCAGTCCTTCTCTCAAAGGTGGCCCAGTGCACCTTGCCTTGAATATTCATTGCATAGACAGCAGCTAGCCAAGCTAAAACCCAGGGTCCACTCCTTTTCGGGGCAGTATCCATCTCATAACTATACACCTCTGGCTTGTATTCTTCCTCATTACCATGTACGTCTTTCTGTCTTGGCCATCCATTGGGCCAGCTTCAAGAGGAAGACTGGAGAGGAGTCTGGCCAATGACTCCTGACCCATGGCTTAAGCACTGTGCTAGGAATAAGGAGATGCATGCTCTGGGTAAGGCATGTGGGAGTTGAATCCACATCTCCTGTTCACTGTACAAGTGCCCTAACCATTTAGCTGTTGGGCTAAATGGTGGGAAGTTTTCCTCCTTGGGTGAGCATTTTCTAGTTGTGGTTTAAAATTTGAGGATTTGCCTGGCCTTACACTTCTATTTCCCATGACAGTGGCCTAGCTAGAGGGCATTCCTATTGAACATGCTCAGTGGGACTGCATGGACTACGCTGAATCACAACTTGCGAGTCAAGTGCCCGAAACTGCAGTGATGTTGCTATGTGTGCACCATTTAAGCACACCAAACTAAACCCTATTTCACTTTAAAAGTCTTGTGGCAGGGGTCCCACAGTGGCTGGTTCTTTACTATGGAGTTTTCTTCCCCGTTTGTATGGTGAAACTTGGTCTGTTGACTCTCAGTGCATTGTATTTCCCTTGTTCTGCTCAGGCAAAGTGACATGGGTGAAGAGTGGTTGTTTTCCTTTGGAGGACTGTCTGGTTCTTTTTGTTAAAAATAACATATTTAAAAGTAGCTTTTATTAGATTTTATAAATAGTACATTTACTGGTTAACATTTTAAATAGTCTTGTATCTATTTGAATCATATGGCCCTTGCATGCATACATTCTGTGCACTATAATGATCAGTGCAAACAGCACCTCCAGCAGGAGATGGTGCTGTCTTCATCTTACTCCTACATTGTTGTTTTATATTATGTTGTTGTCTCTGATTGGGGGTGTGATGAGGCTAGAAGAAAGCTTACATCTGTTTGTACATTGCTGAATTTGTCACCTTCAGCATCCCAATGAATCAGCTGACTAATGTAAGCAAGTATTATAACTGGTGGCAGTCACTTCAAGAAGATAAAAAAGCACTTTTGTCCAAGAAGAAATGTACTGGCTGCACTGATGAGAGAAGAATCAGTGAGAGGCTGACAGACTTTGAGTAGCTGCTATCTGTATGTGACTGGACTGATGAAAAAAGCAGCACAACATTTGGCAGTGTTTTTGGATGGTTCTGCCAAAACTTTTAACCAGCAGCTCTCCAATGCAGATTCTGGGCCTAATGGGCAGTTAAGAACTCTTATCCATATGGTACAGAAGGGGACTGACCCTTCTGAAGTACTAGAAAGAAGAGGCATCTGAAAGGAACCTCAGTATAGCCCTTTGTTCATTTGA